CAGGATGTTTATACTTTGCAAGTTGCATCCTGAGATGAAAGGCTATACAATGTGTTCAACATAATGACTTTGTTCGACTTTCAATCACAGGGGTGAAATGTTCAAAAAAAAAATAACAGGGTCTTTTGAATGAATTTTAATCATAAATACTGATATTTTGCCTGTAGCTTTATTTTAGATCACTTTTAAGGTTACAAGTGTGAGTTTTATACCAGGTGAGCGATGCAGGCCCATTGGGCCTCTTGTTATAGCATGTCAGCTAACCACTCTTAGAATGATGCAGATCTTATTTCAATGTAAGAAAGTATATAACATTATATGGCATTTGACGGGCGTATATTGTTCCGCCCCCGCGGTACTCTTGTTTCATATGGATGTAATGGTAGTGCATGTGTAATATAATAGATTAGTACATTTATCTGATAGCGTTATTTCTAATTTACAGAAATCTGTACCAGCAACAGAAGTTACTGTCAACAGGACTGGACATTCCCGTACCAGCTGGGATTGATCGTCGGGACAGCGACCTGATGCCCAACATGGGGATCGTCAAGGAGACTGGCGGCTTCCAGGCAGACCCACTGATGAAGCCAGCCAATCAGCTGCAGGACGTGGACTCAAACAGCGTGTTTCCTGTAGTGGCCTTCGTCGCCACAGGACTTGTGCTCCTCTTCCTCCTCAACCAGTACTATAAAAGTCGCTCGAAGCCCAAAAAGAGGCGACCAAGATTAAAAAAGTTCCACCAAATATTTACGGGGAAGGTGCCCAGTGTATGATGTTTATTGTGTGTTAGGCAAGTGTGAATCTGAGGGTGAATCTGTGTTAGGCAAGTGTGAATGTGAGGGTGAATCTTATATACTTGTTGTGTAGGTGATATCTGTGTGCTGAGGAAATGTGTGTTAGCTACTGTGTTATGAGGACATATGTGTGTGTTAACCTGTGTGGTGTGGTACTCCATGTGTGAATCTTATTTGTTGTGAAAGTAAAACCCTCGTGTTGTGAACAGCGATGAGTGTTCCCTGTTTGAAAATTGACGGGTGCCATATCCTTTAGAATGTTCAGATAAATGTGAAAATATGGAAAACTATACAATAATTATTTTTGGAGGAGTATCTTCAAAAGGTAAAACAAAAATTTCTAGACAATCCATGGAATTTATTTCAAAATAGGGTGAAAACTACAAAGTGTTGTGGCTTTCGTTTTAAAGTTGTTTACGGAACTCCAATGGTTTAAAATATCAAACATAATTTCATCGGTGTAGCACCTGAATATATAGGGATTGAACGGTGTTTTAAAAAAAAAATCATACGGTTATAAACGCAAATCGCTTACATCCATATTGCATGAAACCCACTAGGGTAGTTGAGTAAGGACGATATTTATAAGAAATTACATTAACTTAATTGTATGTCATATTGTTTTGTAGGATCAAAAGTTTGCAGTTTACACAAATTTTTGACTCATCCTTTTAATGTGAATTAAGGTAACGATATACAACGCACAAAAAACAATTAAATCAACTGTAAATTCTTGCTAGGTATTTAGGTGTAGTATTTTTCAACTGATCCTTTTAATGTGAATTTAGGTGAATACAGGTAATCGACTGTTTATTCTTTATAGGTGTTTAGGTGTAGTGTTTGGAATCGATTGAACATTTGTGATTGATCGTGACATATTTTCAAACGATCGATTATTGTTTATGAACTGAAAGGAAAAACGAACATTTGAAGCATTCCATTTCAACAAAACATATAAAATGCATTGAGTAATTTTAAATACCTAGCTATATAAGCAGAATTGTTGTTTTAATGTAGTTTATTATTGAGATGGCATAATTGTTCATTTGATATATTTCCATGTCTGCTCCATATCACTTGAAATTTTTTCCATATCTTAGTCAAACTATAATCCGTCGTACAGTATCATGATTGATTATAATCAGTCATGGCTGAAATACAGTATAATGACTTGAAATTGATTTCATTAATTGGGACGACCCTCAGATATTTATGCAAGGTGTTTCAATATGTTTCCTTGTCTGATATGCAAGATATGGGAGAAAATGTTCAATATTATGATTGCTTGGTGAAATACGATATTTCACTGAAAATGTTGTTTTTTATCTACTGAATTAGATTTACTGTGCGTAGATGTGCGATAGGAAATTTTCTGTATTTCTTGTCAATATTATTAATGTGTACAAATTCCACACCTGCCAACTACATCATACCATATTTATCCTGAAATAAGCCCAGGGGGGCCCCAACACATAATCTCTGACACAAAGTGGGTGGGTAGGCTTTATTGACTCATTCACCCCTGAAGACACTTTTGAACTCTTCCATTTCAAAGGTTGGAATGGTTCATTATGATCTTCACGGGTGAATGAGTTTCAGGACAAAGAAACAGCATTTATGGGCATTTCCACTGAACTGTAATAGATAGTGGTGCGCTTATTACCAGGCATGGGCTTATTGTCGGATAAATATGGTTAGTTGTTTTCATGTCATTTTCTCTTTATATCTGATTATCCCACCAGCTTACGACACAATTTATTATACTGTTAAAATTACAACATGAACACAAGCATGGAAAAAGGAAGAATGTGTGCTCTTGTGCAAGTAATAACTAATATTAACCCTTTCACCACTTTAGACCAAAATGGACTCATCCAGATCAATGCATGGTAGAGTCAACTAAAGTTACATAGGGGTTAAAGGGTTAAACTTAGTTCCAAAGATAGAGCCAACGCCGTTTCTCTTATTTAGGTTTGGTTGGTTCTGTTTATCCCTTAGCTGGATACCACCCGGTATGCAGGGCGATTAAAGAATAGGGAAAACTAGGTATAGAAGTCAATCGCAACCAGCTCGGGATAAGATGGGTTTTATTTATTCGGAAACGTCTACCCGTTTCGCCCGAACAGTGGGCTTCTTCAAGACGATATTTTGACAAAATTTGTCCCATAAAGTACAAAAAATTGGGGGAATCTTTGCATTGTTATATGTGATGTCATACAATAGATGTCACATGATTATCCATAAACGGTAACTCTAATGTTTCTATGGCCTTCCGCAATGTTCCATCACGTACCGTAAATAAAGCCAGTCTTATCCCAAGCTTGTTGCAGTTGTTATTCCCTGCTTAACGTTCAGCATTTAGTGGAAATGGCACAACTGGTTCAGCCGTTGTCAATATAATGTGACTGGGCGGAATGCTGTGCTGGGTGCCTTCTGCATGGTATTTCAGTGAGCTAGCACTATAAAGTCGGCATCTGATCCGCGCTATCACAAGGAGGCAAGCACACCAATAACATACCCTGTCTCCTGCATACATGCAAGCACGCATACACTACACACATGGAAGCATGTCCTTAAATGACCTTAGCTGTTAATAGGACGTTAAACAAAATTAAACCAAACCAATTGACTTCTATACTTCATGTTAAACTTAGGATATTTAATTGTGAAATTGTCATTTCATTATTTATTGTGTGGGCGTTTGAACAATATTATATTATTTGTTGTATGGAGGATGACAATAGCTGTGAGGGGAAATTCATAGGAGGGCTATTATAATAAGACATTCTTATAATCCCAGGACCGAGGTTTTATTCCGATGTTTCACCCATAGTATTTAACTCATTCACCCCTGCAGACACATTTGAACCCTTCCAATTCAAATATTGAATACAAAAAATGTGAAATTTCAGGGGTGAATGAGTTAAATACTATGTGTGAAACATCAGATTCACCCCTGAAATTTCATTATGAACTACTCCAATATTTGAATTGGAAGGGTTCAAATGTGTCTGCAGGGGGGAGGGAATGAGTTAAGCAATAATTTATATAGAAGAAATAAAGGAAATCAAACTGGGTAAAATTGAAGTCTGGGATCAGATAGGATTTTTTAGGGGAATATTCCAATACATGTATATGTTTATAATATGAAATTTTTAGAAATTTTTAGATATGCCTATTAAAGTATTTGTATGAATAAATATGAAATGTTTGTAATACATGTATTTACCAGGTAGAGTAGGTTGAACCCTCACGAGTGCTGTGTGGTCTCCAAGTGCAATAGTGAACTTTATTCATCCTCTATATCTTTATTATCCTGCTCTTGTTCTGAGTTTAGAGAATTTTAACTTTTTGTCTGCAGCAGATGGAATCTTTGCCACCTGTAAGATAATTTTTGATCTGAGATGCATTGTTGAATTATTGTTGTTGAAAAGGTTTGAATTATTTATTTATACACTAGTAATTTGGTCTAGTGGCCCGTTTCGGCATTAAGTGGTAATTCCAATGTCTAAAGATCGAGATGTAGATTCGCCATTATACGGCCATAAGTAATTTTGTGTCTTGATAATGTTTGTAATAGGTGTTAACTTTATTCATATGTTCATGAATGTTTACATTGCATGTGTATTACAGTAAGTGACTCAAAAACGACATTTTGATCACAGTGTAGCGATCTCTTTTATTATTCCGATGTCCCAGGAGTGAAAGCAAAATTTTTAAAGTGTGCTCAAAGAAAAAGAAAAATCATGGATGGTTAGGGAGGTCACAAAACAAATTCAACTTGCTTTCTCCCGTCCCCCCTCCCCCACTACATTTATTTCTGGACTGGAATAGTCTGGGGATTAAGAGTGTGGTGAAATTAATATTGTCAAATCTAGATACAAAATATGTGAACTAAGCTTCGCTTTCATATACTGGGTAAAGCATTAGGCCTATTGTTAAACCTCTGGTACTCGGAGCAACATCATCAATAAGATTCATCAGTTTGGCAATGTGTCATATCACAGTTTTACTTTATACACAAACAATGTACTTATTCAACGTGTCGCAATATTCAACGTGTCGCAATGTTTCAAAACCATCTGGTCCCTTTGTCAAGCTATGACTGAGTGAGACACATTTAATATGTTTGTGTAGAAAGGAACACTTTGATATTACTCGCAGCACATCAACTTGGACTTCCTTTTTTATCGTGCAATTTTTTTACTTTTAGATGTCTTGATATTTCAGAAAACATTTCCATGCAAGATATTTTCAACTGTATGTTAAATGTTGTACATATATTAATGATTGTCGATCCTTTTTCCAAAAGATGTGGTTAAGAATTTCACTAATCTTTGGTGTATGAACACGGGTGTTAACTCATGGTGTGCCCTATGCAATGTTTGATGGGATGGATGATCATTTGTACCAAACATGGAAAGTGTATTTGAAAGATGGATGAAAAAAAACAAAAAAAAAAAAACATACAAAAAATAATAAAATGGGAATAACTGAAACAAATTGTGTACTGTTTTAATTTCTAGAAAGAATTTCGAAATAACAACTTTTTAATCAAAGTTGTAAAACACTAAACAAATAAGTTTAAACAATTCTGTTTTGATAAAGTATTTGCAATAGTGGTGTATTTCCTTGTATAAATATCACAAGACCACAGGGTTTAGTTCGTCATATTTATTTCATTTGGACATTCAATTACCGAGTATGATACAAACGAAAGGCTCCTGCGAATTCCTCAAAAAATGTATATCCTAATTGTAATAATTGTATATCTATATACTGTAAAGCGCTTTAGAGTGGCTTATGGTAGCTAGATAGGGCGCTATATCAAATGTTGTATATTATTATTATTATTAAAGGAACGCGCATAAAATGTATACATTATTATGGATGATACTAAACAGACAACGCCAGTTATGGATGCATTACACAATACAATCGGGGAAAATATTATAAAATATCAAATACTACATATTTTAATAAAACTCTTAGCATATACACTAAATTATGTCCCTGCTACATAATATTGTACAAACGACCCTGGGCCTGTTTCATGATGTGACGTCGCTCAATTGTTTTCATCATGATTCGTGGTCCGTTCGTCTATCAACACGTGCAATAACTAAGCTAATAATGGTCTGATTTCAACAAAATGTGGTAGGCACATACAGGTTTAAGACTAACCCTTTCACCCCTACGTAACTTCAGTAGACTCTACCATACATTTATCTGGGCGAGTCCATTATGGTCCATAGTGGTGAAAGGACTAAGCTAATAACACTACGCTATCAGGGATAATAATAAGAGAAATCCACACGCTACCTAAATTTGCTCCTTTTTCACGGAAAAGCAAATAGGTTTTAGATTATGTAAATACTCTAGATAAAGGAAAGTTGAAATAGTTAAGTGGACAATTATCTCTTCCGGATATAAAAAAAGTCTAGAGTTCCTCATCATGTGAATGGTAAAACAATTATAAACATAAAAGACATTTTCTACACTTTCAACGACAACACAAATGCTAATGTAGATACAATTTGTTTTTTAGCTCACCTGGTCCGAATGACCATGGTGAGCTTATGCCATACCGCAGCATCCGTCGTCCGTCCGTCAACTTTTCCTTTAAAACGCTACTAGTCATGAACGACTGAGCAGATTTTGACCAAATTTGGTCAGAAGCATCCTTGTGGGAAGGGGAACAAATTTTGTATAAATGATGGGTGTGCCCCCCCCCCTCCCCCCCCCTAAATCCTTATTTAGTCTGGAGCATCCTTGGGCCAAGTTGACTCAATTTTGTATAAGCAGTGGGTGTGGTCTCCCAGGGGGCAGAAGGGCGGGGCCCAATAGGAGAAATAGAGGTAAAACCTTTAAAATCCTTCTCCGACCATCGGGATTAAGGGATTTTATCCTGATTGAGTCTGGAGCATCCTTGGGTCAAGGGGACTCAATTTTGTATAATTGATGGGTATGACCCCCTAGGGGCATAGGGGTGGGGCTCTGTTTGAAGTTTGTTCTCGCTCTATCTCAAGGGCTGGATGTATCTTTCTGAAATTTCATATGTACTTACAGCACCTACCATGGAGTGCTATATCTTTACTTCATACTAACTATTTTAAACATATTCAGGTGAGCGATACAGGCCCTCTGGGCCTCTTGTCTTGTTGTTTATTTACAGGTTTGGAACTCTGCTATAAAGTCATGCGCGAATTACATGGATATGGATGGGAAGCGTTTGTTTGGACCGGAATACAAAGTTATTTTGTCATCTAGTTAACATGGTATAAACAAAATGTAATCCTATGAATGTCACACAATCAGTAGTGTTGACATTTTACTTTAATCCCGTGAATGTCTCACAATCTGTAGTGTTGACATTTTACTTATAATCATGTGAATGTCACACAATTTGTAGCCTAAACATTTTACTTATAATCCTGTGAATGTCACACAATCGGTAGTCTAGAAATTTTACTTATAATCCTGTGAATGTCACACAATCTGTAGTCTAGACATTTTACTGATAATCCTGTGAATGTCAAACAATCCGTAGTCTAGACATTTTACTCAAATCCTGAGAATGTCACACAATCTGTACTATAGACATTTTACTTAAATCCTGTGTATGTCAGATAATCTGTAGTCTAGACATTTTACTTATAATCATGTGAATGTCACACAATCTGAAGTCTAGACATTTTTCTCAAATCCTGTTAATGTCACACAATCTGTAGTATAGACATTTTACTTAAATCCTGTGTATGTCACATAATCTGTAGTCTAGACATTATCCTTAAATCCTGTGAATGTCACACAATCTGTAGTCTAGACATTTTACTTATAATCCTGTGAATGTCAAACAATCTGTAGTCTAGACATTTTACTTATAATCCTGTGAATGTCACACAATCTGTAGTCTAGACATTTTACTTATAATCCTGTATGTCACACAACCTGTAGTCTAGACATTTTACTAATATAATCCTGTGAATGTCTCATATCGTTAGCTGATGCTAATCATGATAAATTTACTTTGTCTTTGATTTCCTTGTCATTGTCATGGTAACTAGATATACTAGTAGTTTGGTTACATGTGTCACACACTGCTGTTCTGTAGTAGTTTGACTCTGCTATACCCAACCACTACCCACAGGACATCCTCCCTGTCTATACCTACAGCCAGTGTACGGTCTGTGTCTGTGTGTATGACCCTGAGGAACTCACCACCTCCACTGATGAGTAGGACCCTGAAGTTGTCACTGTCCCCTATGACCAGGTTCCCCACACTGTCATACACCACATCACGGGGGTTAAATGGTTTACCTCCTGTTTGTGGTGTTGGTCTATATGTACTGGGGATGTCACCTCTATATACAAACAGCTCCTTGAAATCAGTGTCCATCACAACAACATGTTGATTTCCATCACCACCATCACTTTTATGACTGAAATCAGCGACTG